AAAAAAAATCAGGATGTTTGCCCTTCTTTCGGTCTTGCTTTTGTGCTGTTTCAAATATTATTTATGGTGGCTCAGTAATCACATCTGCTTGTCTGCTTGTTCTTCCAGGAATGTACTTAGTTCATCTGGACCAGGTAACTTGGATCTATCAAGTGCATCTAAGTGCTTTCTTGTGCTCTCTTTACTTATTTTGGGCATTAGCTTCCTGTTAGTCATTCCAGTGCAGTTGACAGGGGAAAAACAGAAACAAAATGAAAATGAGCAACTCTGCCAGTCATCATGCCGTTTATACCAAGCCTTCTTTAGTCCTCCTTTTTCTTCCAGCATAACTTTTTTTTTTAACCCTTATCTTTAGCTTCTCTTGCCTGCTTCCACTCATTCTAAACTATAATACACCTTATCCCTTATACTGGTATTTATATCCATCCTGTTTCCTCACCTTGCTTTTATCTTTTCTACATTTTCACAGTCAAACTGGTTGATGAATTCCCTGGTGTAACACAAATAACAACACAGGAGGCACAGGAGACTCCAGCCTCTAACAGGTTCACTCTTGATCTGGGCAGCAGAAGGACAGGGGTTAAATAAGTTTACTCTATTCTAGTCTAGTCTTTTTAAGAGGGTAGCTGATAATGGGAGCAGTAACTCCTACAGCATTCCCTAATCATTCTTCTAGCGGGGGCCGGCAAGAACATACAAAGTAGAAGCACAACTCATCTCATTCCCCTAAGCTTCAGTGGGGACCAGTTGAGGCAGACATACATGCATTCCCTGTGCATTACCCAAATCCCCCCTCACTGACCAGTGCTCTCTTGATTTACAGAGAAGCACACAAATAAGGCAATTTGCCTACAATAGCCTCACAGGTTAACTTTAGCAGTAATATCATAACTTAGCACAACGAGAGTAGTAAATATTACATTGTCATCCCTGTATCTCACTGTGTAGTCACAGTAGACATAGTTTTTAACGTGAACTCCTGGGAACTAGAGATTGTTTTAGCTATGGATCCTGGGAATTATTATCTAAAAAAGAATAACAAAATCATTCTTACACACACTAAAATCCACCTTACGTATACCTGAGTGTCCTCATTGGTCAAATCTCATTTTTCTTCATTGTTGGAATTGTTTCTTTTTTGTCTTCAAAATGCCATTCTTGAGCATTTCGTATTTCCTCTAATCTTGTCTTCCTCTGTGATATTTTAGTCCATTGGAAATTCTATCTTTCCCCTAAAACCCTTTGAAATGTGATTTGCGCAATAAATCATGATATGTTAATGTAATGGAATATTATGGTGCTATAAAAGGATAAATATGAAGAATACTAGGAAATATGGAAAAATCTATGCAAACCACTAATCACCCAAAAACACTTTGTTTTTTGTTATATATTTATATACATTTATATCCCGTAATTCCCATTTATATGCTATAACTCCCATTTTAGACACAAGCAAGTACTTTTAACTTAATGCCTCAGTTATTGGTATGATTTTCATTGGCTCATAGACTTCTGGTCCATGGTATCTCACACAGATACTTTGAGAAGTTGCATGCTAACTTAGAGAATTTTAGAGTTGGATGGGACCTCAAAGGTCATCTGGATCAAACAGTACCTGAACAAAAATTCTACAACATCTCCAACAAGTGCCCATCAGCTTCTGCCTAAAGATCATCAGTGATGGGGCACTCTTATGTTATCTCCCGGGACAGTCCCTTCCACTTTTGCAGTGTTGTAGTTATTAGGAAGTTTTTCCTTATGCAGAACTGAAATCTGTCCTTGAAACTTCCCATTGCTCCTAGTTCACCTTCTCAGGCCCAGTGGAACAAGGTTAGTTACTACTGGGTGTGTTAGTACAGAGTGCTTTACTTACATTTTGTAGTGTTATCCTCAACTATCCTGTGAGATACGTGCTCAGGCATTATTATCCTAATTTTACAGATGAGGAATGTAGAGCTCATACCAACTGTCCATAATCAGTCACATGTTATATGTCAGAGCCACAATTTGAACCCACTTGCCTGACTCTAGCTCTCATCTCCTCTTTTAATGAAGTCTAAAATTGCATTAGCTTTTTTTGCTGCCATGTCACACTGTTGATTCATATTAAGATTTTAGTCTACAGAAATCCCAGGTCTTTTTTTTTTTTTTTTTTTTTTTTTTTTACCAGAATTGATATCTTGGCCTATCTACCATTTGTATACTTGTGCAGTTGAAATTTTTTAAACCAAATGTAGGACTTTACATTTGTCCTCAGTTAAATGTCATCCATTAGATTGAGCTCATAGTTCTAGTCCAGAGGTCAGCAAAGATGACAGCATAGTTAGCAAGCTAAGAATGGTTTTTACATTTTTTAAATAAAATTTTATTCTATTTAAAAATGTAAAAACCATTCTTAGCTCTCAACAACTGGCTGGATTTGGCCCTCACGCCATAGTTTGCAAATCTCTATTCTTTCGAGAACTTTGAGTATTCTGTTTATGTCATCCACCATATTAGCTTATCCCTATAACTTTGTGCCTCTATAAGTTTGGTAAACAAGTCAGCCATCCATGCCTGCATCTAGGTGATTGATAGAATATTGAACAGGTGGAGTCTGAGTACAAATCTGTGGGACATTCCACTGAGACTTCAGAGAATGGATTGGAATGGGAGAGACTTGAGACAAGGAGGCCAGTTAGGAGGCAATTGAAATAGTCTGGACAAGATGTGATGAGATGCTCAACTGGTGCCATGTGAGTGGATAGAAAGTGACATATCCTCAAGAGATGTAAAGGCAGAAATGACAAGATCTGTCCACTGATTGGATATGTGAGATGAAAGTGACCCCAAGATTGCAAACATGGATGATTAGAATTGTGGTACCCTCAATATTAGGGAAATTAAGGGAAAGGGTGGGGGGGGGAGGGGGCGTAAATTAGCTTCTTTTTGGATATGCTAAATTTGAGGTACTTATGGAACATCCTGTTTGAAATGCTCAGTAAGCAATTGCTTATGTGTGACCAGAGGTCAAAAGAGGCATTAGGATTTCACAGAGATGATAATTGAACCAATTGGAGCTAATAAGCTCACCAAGTAAGAGAAAATAGAGAGAAAAGAGGGCCCAGGACAGAGAATGGGGTCTATTGCTAACAGCCACCATCATCTGTGGAAGAGTATTCTGACTCCTCTTCCAGGAGGGCAGAATTCCAGAGAATCATGACAGTAGATGCAGCTAGTAGTGAAAAGGATGCTTAGGGGAGGCAAGTGTCCGTGAATGCCTGAAAACGGAAGTAGAATCAGAAGTTGTCTTAAATCTAGGGAATTTTGTCAATTATTGACCCAGAGTTCCAGAGGGCACAGTGAAGGGGGCAGGTAGATCTGAAATGGTTTATTGGCAGTAGGATAGGATTGAGGTAGATCTTGAGTGAGACATTATAGGGCTACTGTTGAGGTAGATGAGAATGAGAGGGTATAGGTAGCAGGAGTTACTGATGTTTAGCAATGGAAGGACGGTATCGGTATGGGGGGGGCGGGATGCACAGAGCAAGTTTGCTGTCTATTGGCAAATGAGTTCAGGTATTGTATCAGTGAATGGGAGGAGTTCTGTTGAGAAAGGTAAGTGAATAGGATGTTCAAGGCCTCAGTTTAGTCCTGGGGTCCTCCACCTGGTGAAATGTTTTATCCAGAGTTTGAGCAGCCTAAACATTAGCTTAGATATTGATTAGTTTCCAGGGTGCTGGGTTGGAGGTGGGGGGTTTATTGGTTGGGGTAACATTGTGAATGCCACTCATTCATCTACTGTTCCAGCCTAGAAAAATGTCCTTAGACTCTTTTGAGTCAGATTACGGATGGTACTAGGAGTTGAGTCTACATTTTGAACCTTTTGTTCCCCCAAATCTGTGCTAATGATTCTGTTTCACGTCTTTATGAAGTAACATTTATCACATATTCCCACTGTTAATTGTGCTTAATAGGTTAAGGATTGTGGGATGGATTAATTACCTCATTCCTTCATTGCCTCCTTTTTACCTTGTGCTGTGAGATGCTTGGATTGTACTAGCATCTATCAAACCACTTTTCCCTTCATTACCTCTCAGTGACAGTCGTTGTTTTTTGTTGCTGAGTTGTCAGTTTGGGACAGTGGAATGGGGTATTCAATGAATCTGGCTCTTAATGGCTGCCTGCTTCTAACCCGTGTTGCCAGAGTGGAGCCCAAGAAATATTGACAAAGCAGCCCAGGGCCTTGATGGGTGTTGTAGAAATGTAGATTAAATGGCCTCTGAACTAGTATCTCAACCACCTGGACCATGTGACTTTCCCTCAGACTTAAATGATCTTTTTCTTTCCCATTTTAGTTGCAAAATGGCTTTATTTTAAGAAGGTCAGCTTTTTTCCCACATATACAAAAATATTTATAGTAGCTCTTTTTGTGATGGCAAAGAATTAGAAATTGTGGGGATGCCCATCAGTTGGGGAATGGCTGAACAAGTTGTAGTATATGAATGTAATGGAATACTATTGTGCTGTGAGAAATGATGAACAGGATGCTCCCAGAAAAACCTGAAAAGACTTGCATGGGTTGATGCAAAGTAACAGCAATATTGTAAGATGATCTTCTTTGAATTAGCTGTTCTTAGCAATACAGTGATCCAAGACAACTCTGAAGGATCATCCATCTCCAGAGAAAGAGCTGATGGTGTCTGAATACAGATTGAAGCATACTTTTTTTAATTTTATTTTTCCTTGAGGTTTTTTTTGTCTGTTTTCTTTCACAACATGAATAATAGGGATATGTTTAATGTGACTATACATATATAACTTCTATCAAACTGCTTGCTTTCTCAATAGGGGGGTGGGAAGGAGGAAGGGAGAGAATTTGGAACTCAAAAAAGTTGTCAAAAATGAATGTCAAAAATTATTTTTACATGTTACTGGGGAAAACTAAAATAAAATACTTTTAAAAAATAAAAAAAATTTAGTTAAGGGGCTAACATTTTATTTTTCTCCCTAGGCAAGTAAGAGAGAGATTGAAGAGCCAAGTTACTCAAATGGGGGAGCAAGTCCCGGGTTTCAGGCCAGGCCTGGCGATTTTACAGGTATTATGATGTCTCCATTAAAATAATTTGACCCATAGGAAATAAGCAGTTTTCATTTTAAATACTCTACAAAACTGTAATATTACCTCACCACACACTATGCATACTTTCAGCTTCCACATACATTATCTTACTCCTTGTGAAGTCTTTGCTAGGAATGGATGTTGTGTAACATAATTTTCTTCCTTCCCATTAGCTTGCCACTGTTGCTTTTTGTTGCAAATTATTTCCTATTAGAAAGGTTGGAGTTGCTGACAAAGAAAGACAATCTGAAGGCCTGTGGTTATATTCCCAGCACATATTTTCTGCTGTGATTTTTGTTTTTGTTTTTTTGTTTTTTATTTTTTCACAACTTGCCGAGTGAGAATCAAAGGTATGTTATAGAACTGTGCTAAGAACACCCAGGAATTGGTTATTTCTTGGTTTATCTGGGAGAGTTGTTAAAGAGAGAAAGCATGTCATGAGTAAATCCAGGTTTCTATAACAGCAATACTCTGCTTAAAGGCATCTCTCTGACCCTTCTGTACCCTCCTGGTCTGGAGAAGTTAACCTCCAGTGTCTTCATTAAGCAAAAAACATTGTTTCTGCTTGGCTGCTTTGCAGGTATTTATCAGGAAATGTATCTGTAATGGATTTACCTCAGGTTTTTCTCTCCTAACACAGAGGATAGTGGTTTGTAATATAGATTGTTAGACAAGGAATTGGGGAAATAAGGTTAATTAGCTCTTTTAATAATACTTACTCTTGCTTTGTATGTATTTCTTGAATGGCCTGTTTGTGTTTCCCAGGCAGGTAGGTGAGAAAACAGCTGCTTGCTAGTAGTGGTGAGTCTGAATGAACAGTTGACCTACAATAAGACTGAAATGTGAGGTATTTATAGTAATTCAGGGATATTTGATTCATTTACAATCAATGATATCAAATTTGGATTTTATATGCATTATTCAGGAGTAAGATGGCTGTAAAAACAAGCAGCTTTGCAGAACTTCACCCCAGGTATTCTGGCTACAAATTCAATGTTGTTTTTTGTTCTATTACACCACTACTTTATTACATGAGAATAGTAGCAACTAAGGAGGCTGTACCAAAGAGGGTTAATCTAATAGGTCAACCCTGAAATGTAAAGCCCTTCTATTTTTGCTGTTTTTATTTGCAGGATTTAGTATTTAATAATGTAAAATGAAAAAGTCTATGAAAGCAGACTAGAGAGAAAAAAGATCTATATTGAGTCATTTTTTGCCCACAAGAATAAAATACACAATGACAGTGATAATGCCCATTTTTAGAGTAGCATGTCTTTCCTTAGAATCTGAATAAGGGAGCCAGATTTCCACAGAAATTGTCTTAGGCATATTGATTGTGTGTATTTCAGTCAGATTGTATTCGTTGTCTTTTCCTATAAAAACCAACACAATCCAATCACAGAACTCCCATGACCCCATTCTTAATATTTGTTGTACATTATACAGGCAGTTGCTCAGGTTCTTTACTGATGACTCATGGAACATGAATTTTAAAATAGCAGTTCTTTTTTATAGCTGGGCCTGGGATTCCATTGGTATAGGGAACTCCTGGTGAGGAATTCCCTATACCAATACAGGTTAGAGTTTCCTGGGACGCTGAGATTTGGTCTTACACATTAGGTAGTGGTTCATTTTTGTGATAGCAAAAAACTAGAAATAAAATGAGTTCACATAAAATGGAGAATGGCTGAGTAAATTGTGGTATAGGTGAATGTCAGTTGGTCAACAAGCATTTATTAATAAATGCTGCTATGTTCCAGGCATTATGCTAAGTGTTGGGGATACCAAAAAAGAAAAGGAGAGGGAAGAAAAACATGGTTCCTGCCTTAAAAGAGCTTACATTTTAATGGAGAAAATATGCAAAAAATTTTTGCATACAAGATACGTATAATGTAAATGAAAGTTAATTTCTTGAGGAGGAAAGCATTAGCAATGGGGAGGACTAGGAAAGGCTTCCTGTGAAATCCAGTGAGGAAAGAGAGAAATCCAGGCATGGGAGATTGCCTGTGAAAAGGTGAGGAGTCTGGAGATGACCTGTTGTTTTTGAGGAAGAGAAAGAAGACCAGAGTAGCTCAGTCGTACAGTGCATAGAGGAGAGTGTGCTGGAACACTTTTGTCCCTGTGAAAAAGGATGAATATGAGGGATTCAGAGAAACACAGGAAAATTTCTTTGAACAGGTGCAGAACCAGGCAAACCAGTAGTAGAAATGAATCCCTGGGAGCCACATATTGACTTAGAAAACCACAAATTAACATTATCTTTGTTGAATATTCTCTGATTACATTTTATTCTGCTTCCTGCTGAAGTTTTGCAGGCAAGGAGTTTGACATCTCTGGTATACACAATGACAACTATAATTAATGTAAATTTAAAAAAAACTAAAGCAGATGAACTCAGATAAGTTGCAGTGCAAATCTTTGCATTTAGATTATTGAAATCATTGTATATATTATTTCCCTGGTTTTGCTTACTTCATGTATAAGTCTTCCTGTGTAAAATCGATTTTATATTACAAAATACTAAAGAAATTGTTTCACTCTCTGCAAATGTTTATTGCCAACAAGAGCTGCACAGTTCTTTGTCTTAGGAACAAGTTTGAGTTTAATAGATCTTTTAAGACTGCTCTAGAAGCAGTGCAAGCAATCCTTCTAGTTTCCTCAGCCCTGAAGGGAGGAGGGAATGTTAGATCCCTGGTTTTTTTGTTCCTTGTTATCTTTGTTTACTCAGATTTTAGATGATAGCACAGGACTATAAGCTATATCTAATTAATGATTTCCAAAGGTTATGTATTTCTATGTTAAAGTCTCCTAGATACATTAGGTACATTCCTCAAAGTTAGCTGTAATAAGGTTCGTTTCGATTAAAAAAAAAAAGCTACTTTATCTAACTAAAATTTAATGGCTTTCCTATGTATTATACCTCATTAAGTATTTTGTGTTTGCTTGTTCTAGGTTGGAGATAGAGCTGATTCAAATCTTTATATAAGTATGAAGCTAAAAGCTGCTGAGGAGGTAAAATCTACTGTGGTACTGCTAGCTAGCACAGTAATCCCATCACCACTTCTCTCCCTTCTCCGCCAATTAAAATTATCATGCCTTTATCCTAATTTGACTTGTATTGCAAATTATAAATACGTGGCTTCTAACTAGAGCCTCTGTCTTTTATCTACTTGCTTTTCTTCTTAAACAGAAAGCTAGCATGGAAAAATTAAAGGAACACAATAAATCTGAAATATTATGGGGAAATAAATGGGTAATTGTATGGCAGTGGTTCTCAAACTTTTTGGTCGCGTGATCTTTTTACCCTCTTAAAAAATATTGAGGACCCCACCTGAAGAGCTTATAGACTATATCCTATCATTGTTGACCATATTAGGAATTAAAAGTGTTAGTATTATTATGAAAATAGTTTTAACTTTGTGGACTGCTTGAAAGTGCCGGGTACTCCCAGGGATCGGTCCGTCACTTTCAGAATCACTGGAATGCTACAAATTCCTTTAGAACATAGGAATTTAATGCAAACAATACCTTTTAACCTATATCTAGTCATAATTACCCAAGAAATACTTCTCTCAGTCCTCCCACTTTTCTAGCTAGTTAGATCATTAAACATGTTTTACATTTTCATTCTTACAGATTGGAATCAGAGCCACGCATATTAAATTACCAAGAAACTCAACTGAGGCAGAGGTAAGCTGTTGGGTTCATGTGGAACAAACCTTCTTATGGTTCCATATCATGGTTATGATTTGTGACATTTTCAGGGCTAAGGGGTTTGTGTGTGATAGGTACATACCTTGCCCCATATTCAAGGCTGCTTACTTCAAAGGAAGAGACCCAGAATAAGTGGTGTAATCCTGTGATGCAGGTGATTCAACACACATCTATTAAGTGTCTGCTGTGTTTAGAGCATTGTGCTAGTAACTAAGGGAAATACAAAGAATAAATACCTGACCCCTGTCCTCATAGAGCATACAGTCATCACATAAAATAACTCAAATACATAAGAGGTACAGATAAGCTAGTTCTACATAAGAGGTTCTACATATGAAATTACATAAAAAGTTTAATATCTATATTGAATCCATTGTTTCTTATAAATCTCCTTTCCTTTACTCTCAAGGGGTAAATTCTATAATCAGACCTTCATACTTGGAGTATGGAATGTCTTCCTAATTGCTGTCCCAGCTTCTATTCTTTTTCCCCTCTCTCATTCATCCCCAGCACAAGTGCCAAAATTACCTTCCTCAAACACAGGTCACTTCCCTACTCAACAAACCTGTTTTGTCTCTAGAATAAAATACAAACTTCTGTTTGGAATTTAAAGCACTTAGCTGACTTTTCCAGGCTGGTTTGATATTCCTGCCTTCATCTCGTCTCCATTCCAGCCAGACTGGCCTGCTGTCCTATTCCTCATCCATGACATTCCGTCCCATCTCCGTACCTTTGCACAGGCTGACCCTCAGGCCTTGAATCCATTTCCTCCTCACCTCACCTCTACCTTTTGAATCCCTAGTTCCCTTTAAAGCTCAGCCCAAATGCCGTTCCCTACATGAGGCCTTTTCTGATCATCCTGGCTGCTAATAACCCCCCTCCCAAAAAAATTTACCTTGTGTCTGTTTTATGTATTTATATGTATATTTGTTGTCTCCTTCTATAGAAAGAAAACTCTCGGGGCAGAAACGATGTCGTTTTTGCCTTTACAAACTTTCTTTTAGTAGATTTTTAATAAATGCTTTTTGATTGTTTGGTAGTAGGCACTTAATAAATGCTTATTCAACTGACTTGTGAACAAAAGCATTCCATTAATAAGAAATAAAAATAAGCTCATAACAGGGCCCTAAATGGCTGAGTAAGAAGGAAGGCCGAGAAGCAGAGCAACGTACTGATCAGAGAACCAACCTCAGTGTCAGGAAGACCTGGGTTCAAGTGTTATCTCTGATGCATTAACTGTGTGCCCTTGGACAAGTTACTTAACTTCTCAGTGTCCCAGACATCTCTCTAGAACTATAAAGTGCAGAAGTTGCATTCTTCTATCTAACTATCTGCATTGGTAGGAGCTTCTTCACTGAGAATGCCTTACAACAATGAAATCACAGATCTAGACCATTTATCCCCAGCGGTTCCCATGCCACCTCTCCCACCCACTACCTGCAAACCTTTCTTTAACTGCTGCCTCAACATACCTCTCTAGTATCTAGAGATATTATTGGGAGGTGTTTTGGTCTAACAAGAAAGTTATATGCAGGACCTATGTGATAGTGGGTTTTTTCTTTGAACTCTCTGAACTAAAACTCTTAGAGGGGAAATGAGGTTGGATATGTTTTGCCTTACAATAGTCTCCATTCCTACTCTCTACCTTCTTTAACTTGTAAAATTTGTTTTTAGGTTTTAAAGTGCATCACATCTTTGAATGAAGACCCTACTGTACATGGACTCCTGGTCCAGTTACCTTTGGATGCAGAAAAGACCATTAGCACTGAGCTGGTGACAAATACCATCGCTCCCGAAAAGGATGTGGATGGGTGTGTTTGACTTTTTGAGTCACTTCATTTTAAAGCTGTTGTATCTTTAAAACATGTATTGGTAACTCAGGGAAGCTCCATACCAATGTTTAAATTGCCTTGTTCTCACTCATTCTGCCTTTAGTTTAATGTTTCAGTTTGACTAGCGTCAGTGCTGGGAAGCTTGCTAGAGGTGACTTAGAGGATTGTTTCATTCCCTGTACACCTAAAGGATGCTTGGAACTTATCAAAAAGACAGGTAAGGCTAATTTTTCAGAGCCTCCCCTTTTTTATCGTCTTTTATTAATGTTTATACTTTCTATTCATTGATTCCACGTAAGACAGCATGCATTAATTTAAGGACCTTTTCTGTACTGGGTACTGCTGGAGAGCTTACAAAGTTTATATAAAAAACATGCTTCCTCAAGCTTGTATGTATCATAACCATTGGAAATCTGTTTGTTTATGACAAATTAAAATCTTTGTTTTAATCTTTTAGAGTAATGGATTCTTTTATTTAGTTATCTGTAATTTTTTTTATTGGCTTTACATTCATTCATCAGTTAGTCACCAAGCATTTATTAAGTACTTATTACATGTCAGACACTGTGCTAAGGGTTGGGTAATACAGAGAAAGGCAAGAAATTGTTCCTGGCCTTATGAAACTTACATTCTAAAGGGAGAGTCAACATGTAAATAGCTAGATACATATAGATACATATACAGAACAAATGGAAGGTAATTTTTTTAAATAATATTTTATTTTTTTCCCAATTTACACGTAAAAACAATTTTTAGCATTCATTTTTTGAGTGCCATATCCTCTTCCTTCATCTCTTCCCCCACCCCAGACAGTAAGCAGTTGATATAGGTTATACATATGTAATCATACAAAACATATTTCCATATTTATCACAACTTTTAATATTTAGGTTGCATATCCATTTTGAGCTCTTTGTATATGGCTTAAGATATTAATTTCTAATTTAGTTGATTCTAATTTCTCTTATCGTACTTTGCAATTTTCCCATTAATTCTTGTTAAATAGAGAGTTCTTGCCCATGCAATGTATAATTTCAGGTTTATCAAGCACTGTGGGTTATTGAGTTTGATGTTTCTGAGACAAAATAGTGTACTATATAGCGAGCTAGACTTGGAGTCAGGAAAACTCATTTCAGATCTTGCCTCCATCACTTACTAACTCTCAGCCTCACTTTTCTCAGCTGTAACTTGTGGATAATAATAGCACCTACCTCTTAGGATTGTTGTGAGGATCAGATCAGATACTATATGTGAAGCACTTTGCAAACCTTAAAGCACTATAGATATATAATGCTTGTATTTATAAGCTACTGTTCTTATCTAATCTATTCCACTGATCTATTTGGTTTTTTTTTAAGTATCAAATAGTTTCTTTATGATTACTGCTTATTGTAATTAATTTGTCTAGTTTCATAAAGAAGTACATTGGAAACAGAAGTAATTTTGTTTCCTCTTTACCTATGTTTATACCTTTAATATTTTTCTTTGATCTTTTTGTGAGTGCTAGCATTTCTAGAACTATGAAATGAAAGGAATCAGAAAGGGAGTATCCTTGACTTACTCTTGCATTTATGGGGAAAGCTTCAGGTATTTCTCCATTGCAAATACTTTGGTTTTAGCTATGTGCTTTTGTGGTATTCAGAAAACTGCCCTTCCTTTATATTTTTAAAACTTATTGCTGAAAATGCTTTAGCCTTGCATACACTTTCCTATAAATCAAATGTTATATGTATAAGAAGTTATTTACTATTTAAAGAAGTTGGTGC